AATCATTTCAGAGATGCTAAATGCCCTTCAATTGCAGTTGAGTTCAATGGGAGCTGAAGACAGTCTCTGTCATGTTGGATCTTACAAGCTCATGCACCCTTCTCATGCACCCATCTCACAAGCTCCTCATTGTGCAACGTGAGCATCTCTTGAGATTAGGAAGTGTATGCAGACCCATATGTGTGTTCTCTCCTTCTCTGGGTCAGCAGGGACTAGTCTGTATTATGAAGACAGTTTTGCATTTTGCTTTGAAGGTGCTGACTGAGGCTTGCAGTCATCCTGACTTGGATATACTAGTTGACTTTCAGGATTGGGCCCTAGGAGGTTGTGATCCTACAATATTATACCCTACACACCCATCACACAAAGCAGTGGGGGAAGAGAGATTTTTAAACATTTTTTTTTAATGGAGTGACACTTTTGGGTTAGGAAACATTTGCAAGGCGTAGCACTTAATGAATGTGATTCCTGTCTCATTCACTCTGGCGAAAAGTGGGAATATCTTCCCAGAAGCCAGGGTAAATCCATTAATGGCAGTGACAGAACCACCACTTTGGTTAGCAAAGATTCACATAATTCCTGCAGGGTAAGTAATGGTTATCATCACTCCCATGATACAGGCAGAGAAGAGAAGACAGAGAGGCCAATGATGCTTTTGTTGTCTCTCCTCCAGTGCAACTCTGTTGATCTCAGACTATGACCCAGTAGCTCTCTGACTGACACTCAACTTCCACCACCACCCAGCAGATAGCACAAGATGCACGTAGACATGAATGCACCTCCTGTGACCCCTGTAAAAGCTGTGCCTCCTCAGGGTGTCCTTTGCCCTGAAGTGGAGACAGCAGCAGCCACCCAGGCGTTCTACCAACAGCACTTCTGGTGGCAGAAGTTGTCTAGTGTACACAAGACCTATGTCTAGGCTGCATTGGAGAGGTGGTGACTGCAGCTGAAACTGGTACACACAATCCAGCTTTACCCTAGATAGCCTGGGTATTAATAGCAGTACAGATTAGTCACCTGAAAGGGTCCCCTGCAGACTTGCACAGTTGCACAATATTGAAACGTTCAGTGGGACAGAGCTCGAAAGCCAGGATTCCCTTTAGCAGGTAATTGTCCTAGCCACTGGGCTAGAGTGGCATATGGTCTCTCCAGCCCAGTAAATATTTAATTATTCCATGGAGAGTGTAACAGCTTCACCAGGAGGGGCCAAGAGTACTCTTCCCTGAACAGTTTTGTAAGTGGTGGCTTAGGCACATTCTTTGAGGGTGGGAACTGAACCCATTTCTCCCACACCTTGGAGGAGCGTTCTAACCACTGACCTCTTGGATAAGGGGGGTTGCACTGTCTTTTGTGTGGGGTCTAATCTAGGAGGCATGTTCTGAGATAATGGTTCACATCTTGTAGGCCAGATAGGTGGGGTGTGATGTGGGAAGAATGTACCTGGGAGAGCCCTCTCTCACCCTTCCATCACTAGCCAGCAGCAGCCAGGTGGTGTGTCATGGAGAGCAAGGTGTCCTGGGAGTTGTAGTTCTCTAGAGGAGCAGTGGAGTTCACTACCACTGGGGAGGAACTTTCACCCCATTTCTTGCTGCCGAAGCTCATGCTGATCTTGGCAGCAAAACTGGGGTCAATTTCCACCCCCCAGCAGCAGTGAACTGTACTGCTGCTCTACAAAACTAAGATTGATGCACTCCATGGCATATATTGCCTGAGCCACTGCAATGTGCAGCTGGGAAATGCAAGGTGAGGGGGGAAATATGAGGGTGAGAGGTGCCTTCTCTCCTAAGCAATGCCCGGGGCATGTGTCCTGCTTGCCCACCCCGTGTTACGCTACTGGAGATAGGTGGAGGAATGTCCAGTTTATGAATCCTCCAAGAACTTATATGTGATTGGTGTAAAGCTGCTCAGCATTGTCAAGGTTGGAGCATTTCTTGGCAGGCCTAGAAGCAGGCCCTTTAGCAGCTGAATTTGACATGGCTCAGTGAATTCTGTTTTAAGCCCCAATCTAGTGATCCAACCACTAGGAAGTTAGAGTTTAGAAGGGATCAGGTAGATTAGAATGAGCCATGAAGTCAATTGACTGCCTTCTGAGGGGTCTTAATATCCCATTTTAAATAACGCAACCGAACCTCTTAACATACCCCTTTTTAAATTATTTTATCAGAGTTCCCAGGCTGGCATTCATATGTCTAAATTTGTAATCACCCAGAATGGGAACAATAGAGCTTGTTCAATCCACTGGGTAGAGAGGCCCAGAGACTGCTTGTGTGCAAGTGAGAGAAGGTTTTATTTTTCCTCTGGCAGGATTGGTAATAAATCCAAAGCCCACTGACCATAGCAAAATTCTTACATTAAGTGTGGATGATAACTGTAATCATACTAATACTTTTGGCCTATATAACATCACACAGCAGTGAGATTTCTTGTTGATGGCAAATTGGAGATCAGAGTGAGGAAAAGGCAGGCTGGCGGCCAGAGGAGGGCAATAACTGCTCAAACTAAGCTATAAGTTTATCCTTTCCAATGTTTATGGAGAAGAGAGAACTGAGGAGAGATTGGATAAAGGCCTTCAAATACCGACAGGACAAGGAGTATAGTGGACTTGCATGAAAGGCAATTCAGGTTGGATATTACAAAGAACTGCCAACTATGAGGGGGATTAGGTCTTGGAACTGATATCCTAGAGAGGTGGTGAAATCTGTATCTTCTGAAATTTTTAAGAGAAGGTTAGTGGTTTTAGACAGGGACAATTCTGCCTGGAGCAGGAGATTGGACAGAATGATCTCCTGAGTTGGCTTCAGGTGAAACAACACGAACTTTGGTTTTGACTGGGGCCATGACTAACTCTATACACCCTGTTGCAAGTCACCACTTTTAAAAGCCAAAGTCCTGAATAGATTTTCATTCTTTGAGAACATTTTCACAGATGTGACAATTACTGCAATGACAGCCCTAATTATCTTCTATTCCTGAAAGGCCCAGTATTGTTTCTTGCAGCTGATGATGCTAAAGAAGCTGTGAAGCATGGAGTAAATGGGATCCTTGTGTCAAACCATGGTGCGCGCCAACTGGATGGCGTGCCTGCAACTGTGAGTATTGAAGGAAACCACTTAATAATGTTTCTCAGAAATCTGTTCATTAATATTTAATTGCAGCTCTGGCTTCTTTTTTTTAATTTGCACATGTGTTTACTGGAGGGGAATGTATAAATATGTGCACCGTATTTTTTTAAACTACAGTAAGCTGTTTCTTCTGATGCAATCAGAACATCCCTGCATTCTTTCCCAGGCAACCCTCATCTCCCATTGGTGAGGGTGAGCGTAGTGTGTGGATCTTTTTCTTTTAAGAAATCAAACCGAAAACCACAGAAGGATTTACATGTGAGCTGCCTCTTCTGGCTACCTGGGCATCCTGCCCTGGATGTAGGGCCTTGTAAGGTCATCCAAAGGAGCTGTTTCTGGTTAGATCATTTAAGAGCTCAGTAAAAGCAGTAAGGATAACCCTGGGCATTCAAGATCCTATGGATAATTGAAAGTTTGGGCTGTACAGGGAGCTGTTGCTCACACCCTCCACACCTTACTTCACATGACCAGATGGCCCAGTGACTTCTGGAAACACAGAATCCATAATCAATAGTATGACAGGGTCACATATAATAATGAAGGTGGTGGTGTTGGCTGGGTGAACTGTGATGAGACAAGCTAACTGAAGCTAGATTAACACCGATCTCTCCATTTGCTGGCAGTGAGTTCTCTTTTCCTTGGGAACTGAGCTGTAGCAAACTCCTTCCTTCTCTCCTCTGCTCATGAGACATGGTCTGTAGTAACCTTCTACCTTTTCACACTAAGGAGACTCTATGCTGCAGTTTAGGGTGTGACTGAAGCTAATGTAGACATACCTGAGCTAGTTTGATTTCTGGTAGTGTCATATCCAAGGCAGCACAGAGGCTCAGCCACAGGCTGTGAAACTTGCCCAGGCCCCAGTGAGTATGCCTCTGCTGCATCCCAGGTGCTCTTGGGCAGGGTTGTTGCTGAGCGTGCCTTGCTCACTGGCTTCTGGTCATGCAAATTAATATTTTGAGCCTCATAACTTTTTTTTGAAATATTTGTTTTTAATGAAGAACGTCAAAATTTAAAAAAAAATAGGATAATTTTCAGTTCTGATAAAAGGCTAGATTATTTGTCAACAGCACCTATTTTCCATGAAAACCTTTGATCTGCTCTACTTTAATGGATTTGCTCTAGAACATCCCTTCCTTCCCCAAAGCCTTCTGGTATGAGCCTTTTCATTTTCTTTTTCACTAGAAGTCCTGCCAATTTTCACCTTTCATCCTTGCAGATCCTGCTCATTGTCAATAACACTGGCTAGTATTCCAGAAACCCCCCCTCAAACTAGTTAGAATATGGAGCCAAGTTATGATTACAGCTGACTTTCTAGATGTTAAACCCAGTGAAGAATCATGCCGTGTTGGGCTCCAGCCTGGCCATGTGTTTCAGGAAGACTACAGAGTACTTGTGATTGGAAGGGCTGGTGGAAAGGTATTCTGCAGTGGTGGCCCACTAGGAGGCCTACCCTTATAAGGAAGGAAGAGCAACCTTTATGCAAATCAGGTAAGACTGTAACCAGAACACAGCACCTATTTCAACCAGCTAATTTCAGTAATTGGAGCTGAACAAATAGTGAGAAAGTGTTTCTATGAATATTTGTTTGAATCCAATATTAAATGCAATTATGACTATGACCTTTGAGTATTTGCTTTTTGCAAACATTCAGTCAAAATGGCTTTATTGCCTTATATGACTATTTGTGGAAAGCACTTTTCTCAGTATATATCTGACTGTAAAATTAAAAATTTGCTCCATGTAGCTCATAAAACTCTCCAGTGGGGAATAAACAATACCATGTGACTTAGGTTTATTAGTTCATGGTACCTAGTGTTTCTGTAGAAGCTGATGTCAGCAAATACTAGCAACATTTTCAAGAGTTCCTCAATTACTTTTGTGCATGATTCCCATTTACAAAAGTGACATAAGCCAAGGTCTTCAACTGTGGCCATGTCTACATGAGTGGCGGACTGCACAGTTGTTACTACATGGTCATTTAGCACTTGCATAACTGAGTACTAAATGACTATATATCCCGCACATTTTTATTTCTGACACTAATGTGCAGTAGCATCATGTCACAATTAGTTCACTACTGCACAGTAGCATTTCATGTACATGGCCTGTGTCTAGTAATTTTGGTTACTTCAGTTTCCAGGTGTCAAATTTAAAAGGGCCTGACTCTTAAAAGCAGTTTAGCACTTTCTGAAAACAAAAGGTGCCTGTACACAAGCCTGGAGGCTACTATAATGACCTGGACATAGTGGGGATCACTGAAACGTGGCGGGACTCAATGCATGACTGGGCGGTGAATATCAAAGGCTATAGGCTGTACAAGAGGGACAGGATAGGAAGGAAAGGTTGGGGCGTGGCACTCTATATTAAGGAGGAATACCCATCCGTGTCAATTAACAAAGAATCAGATGAGGGGCACTCTGAAGTGCTTTGGGTTAGCATACAAGGCAGTCAAGGGGAAAGAGACTCAATGGTGGGGGTCTCCTACAGACCTCCCAACCAAGGGGAAGAGCTCGACCAGGAATTCTTAAGTCAGCTCACAGAGGTAGTGAAGGCTAAGGATGTGGTAATCATGGGGGACCTGAACTTCCCAGACATCTGCTGGGAAGAGCAGTCAGCCAGGTCTGAACGCTCACATAGGTTTTTAGACAGTGTGCAGGACCTCCATCTAACCCAGGAGGTGCACAGCCCCACCAGGGGAGACGCCTTGTTGGACCTAGTGCTGGCCACGGGAGATGACCTGGTGAGGGGGCTGCGGGT